TTTCCACACTTAATACAGACTTCCTTCCTCCATTCTAAATCTATACTTCCATGTAGTATATGTTTCCACATGGAGTTAATTTTTGTGAAGGGTACAAGGTCTGTGTCTAGATTTATTTTTTTTGTATGTAGATGTCCAGTCGCACCAACACTATTTTTCGAAAAGGCCATCTTCCCTCCATTGTATTGCCTTTAGTCCCTTGTCAAAGATCAGGTGACTATATTTATGTCGGTGTATTTTTGGGATCTCGGTTCTGTTTCATTGGTCTATTTATCTATTCTTTTGCCAGTACCACACTGTTTCAATTATTTTGACTGAGATTGCATTGAATCTATAGATCAAATTGTGAAGAAATGACATATTGACAATATTGAATCTTTCTGCCATACGCATGGAATATATCTCCATTTATTTAGTTCTTTGAGTACATTAATCAATTTTGTAGTTTTAGTCATATGGATCTAGTATATATTTTTGTTAGATTTATATCTAAGCATTTAAATTTTAGGAGGTGTTAATATAAATGGCATTTTCTTTAATTTCGAATTTCACCTGTTCATTGATAGTATATAGGAAAGCAATTGACTTCTATATATTAACCATATTATCTTGCAACCTTGATATAATCGCTTATTAGTTCTAGTTTTCCTTGTTGATTCTTTTGGATTTTCTACATAGACGATCTGTGAACAAAGGCAGTTTTTTTCCTTCCTTCCCAATTTGCATACTTTTATTTTTTTTCTTGTTTTATTACATTAGCTAGTACTTCTAGTATGATGTTGAAAAGGAATGGTGAGAGGGAACATCTTTGTCTTTTTCCTCATCTTAGTAGGAATGCATATTCAATTCTTAAGCATACCTCCAGGCCCTGATCACTTCTTACTTCCTCCAGAATTTTTCTCAGGAGTCCATACTGATCTCTCCTCTCTCCGAATTTGAGAGAATTTAGCAGTCACTCAATATTGAACTGTTTCTCATACTGATTTTGTCCCTCTGGTTAGAAATGATATTCCTCAGAGGCAACAGCTCTCCCTTTTAACTGCAAAGCCTAACTGTGTTCCCTAAGAGCTGGGAAAACAGTAGATACTGAAAATACACATGCTAATAGATTGATTTTATTTTATACTGACATATACATATATGTTAGCATGTCATGTGATAGAAGACACACTGGCACTCTTTCTGAAACCATCACTGACTGACTGAAGATAACTCTTTTAAGAATCAAAGTTAAAACACAGATGAAATAAGGTAATCTTTTGGAAATTATTAATGTGGGTTTTTTTCTTCTTCTATTTCCTTGTTCGTGATCTTCTTTCCAACCAGGCCAATGCTAGTGGTGGTATGGTTTGGAGTGGGAGGAGACTGAATTGCTCCAGATGAAATGTTAGAGAAAGCTGGTGTAGTGGAGAGATAATTTTCTCAACTGATTTGTAATATCAAGAATCAAACCCAGATGCCTCAGATCACAGAATGTCCATGTGGTATGAAGACGAGAGCTCTGGGGCCATTGCAGCTGGCCCATAATCTTTATTACTCTACTGTAAAAAGAGTCTACAATTCAGGGAAGTGAAAATCTTACAGTCCATCAATTTTTAGCCTGTGATTATTTGCAGAAGAGGACAAAGAGCAGTGATTTAATTATTTCAGGCCTCAATTCTTTATTATACATCCCTTCCCACCACCCCAAGCAAATGATGGTGGGCTTTAGATATAGCTGAGTAGCATTTATCCCCATATAAAGAAGAGAGGAGAAGCCATGGGCATCTGTGTTCAGAGGTAATATTCGTTAATATTTAATAACCAGATTCATTTGGAACAATCAGAATCTAGACCTAAAGTTGAGTGGTATCCTGAAGTTATCTTGGGGCATTACTATCTTTAATGAGGCAAGGGGGTGGGGCTGTTGTAATAGGGGATATGCCAATGACTTGAAATAGTGAGTGTTAACCAACAAGCATGAGAATACAAGCATGAGAATAGTGAGTGTTAACCAACAAGCATGAGAATAGTTTAACTATGGGTATGGATATATTAGTGAACATCAGGCTTGGCTATGCCCAACATGGCCTCCACAAAGAGATGGCACAAAAGAGTGGGTGGAAGTGAACGAGAGGCAATGCTACTGGCTTCCATGAAATAAATCATGACTGACTTATAGAAGACAGCTGTTTTTAGAATCGAATGTCTGAGCAGCATACATCCCCACACAAACAAGGGAGAGGACTTTTGTGTGGTGTGCAGGAATCTAGAAGCATGACCAAATCTCAGTGAGAGAATTGGGAAGTAAGTGCCCAGTGCAAGCTTATGGTTGACGTAAGGAGGCAGCCTCGAGGATGGCTTTCAAGACTTAAGGCAAGAGGCTGGAGTTGTGAAGTACTGCAGAGGCTCCCTCCTCAAAAGCCCAGGAGCTGATGGGACCTGTTAATCCTTACCAGTCTGGGTAGCAGAAGAGGTCAATTATGTCAAGGCAGAGACCAGAAAGGAGCAGAAGAAGAGTCTTATCTCATTTAAGATAAGACTCATAATCTACATCTAAGGTCCCATAATCTACATCTGTCCCTTATTCTCCTAGACTCCACCTTAAGAAAGATGAGGGTGGGAGGTGGAAAGAAGGAGTAGGTGGTGGCCAAATGTGAAATATTGAGGTTTTAAAGGTTATCAGTTAAACATAATCATAATGGGGTTTAACTTTGATAGACAATGTTTAAATTATTGAAGCATACTAAATGTAATAGATCAAATTTTTAAATATTTTTAAAAAATCTAGTCAGTAGTGCTCTGTGAAGAAGTCTAGGTTAGTTTTTAAAAAATAGAGACATTATAAGTGGGCGGGGGGTAAGGGGGGGAAGGCTATTTCCAAAGCTTGAGTATGAGTAAATCTGCAAGCCTACCACACAGATGGTGAAAAGGAGGAACAATTTTGCCAATACATTTTGTTTGCCTGTAAATTTAAGAGACCTGAATGATTGATGACGTGAATGTATTAGCCTTTTGGTATTGGTGGGTTTTAATGTCAATATCTCTAGTGTGGCTTTCTCTTTCCAGACATTAAAAGAAGACCAAAACCTGACAGACTAGTAATTACTCCCTAACAAAATGTAAGTTGAGAAATTGAAACTCGACTCTTGGAAGCCAGGCCCGTCCTTCTGTTGTAGGAGTATAAGTGCTTCTGCATGATTTTTTTTACTCATCCAAGTATATAAAAGAGACAATTTTCTAAAAGAACATAATTACACACAACATTCGTCCAAATAAATCTGCAAGTAGATAATGAGAATTCAAGTAATGAGCATAATAAAGCATTGTAGGCAGATCTTAAGAGCAAATCACACTGACTCTAAGCTGAGCCTTATTTTCGATAAAATTATACAATGTGCTTGCTTAGGAAACCACCCTCTTCCCACTAATGCAGTTAAGCTAGGAGAACTGCAGCTAGCACACTGCAAAACCCCTAAAAGAAAAAAGTTGTAGCTTGGTCCACAAGGGCCAGACAAAGCACTAGAGCTCAGAGTTCAGACAAAGATGCTATTTAAGCCTGAGATCCTATCCATCTCATTGTGCCCTGGCTAGGAATCAGGGGCCCCACAAAAACATGGGGCGGGGGCACAAAAGAGTCTATGCACAAGACAGCTACAGGTTTAAAATAGAATGTAAAACCCTCATTCTGTAAATTGCATACACTCTAAAGAATTCTTGAGTCTGCTCCAGGTTTTTGCTAAGGCAAAAGGTGGATGCTTCTGTGCCTGGTTCCTGGGTGCTTCCTA